AGAACTGGAAAATTATATCGATCAAAATAGCTTTACAAAACAATAGAGGAAGTATATGGCGATACAATATACCAACCAGTCTGCAAGAAGCAATGGATAGTTAAAAAAATTCTGATTAGAAGCGACGAGAGGAAAATATGATAGCTTCTTAGAAAACAACACATACACCTTGATGATTAAACGAAAAGATAAAAAAGTTTAATGAATAAATTTGAGAAAATAGGACAGATCACTGGAAAATTTCGGAGATTAGTTGCACATGGAGATCAAGAAGGAAAAGAAGTCTATTAAGCTAAGCTTTTTACAAAAGTTAGTAAGTATAAAAACGTTATAATCTGGCATGTTATTTCGAAAAGACAATATTTGTGCACCAAGTATATGTTCAAGGCTATTTATCTAACAATATATACATAATCGAAGCAAAAAAGTTTGAAGAAATCTCCCAAGAAAAAAAAATTTGTAAACTAAATAAACCATTATATAGACTAAAACAGACAGATAGAGAATGGCATTTAGTAGGTTTTTACTAAGTAAATATTTGATAATCATTTTATAATTATATATTTCAAGAAAAATGCAATTAATTCATGTGTAGATTCAAATATGAACAACGATATTACTATAATATTATAACGACGTTGATAATTAACTGATAAGATCAAAGAATTTAAACAAAATAAATGAAGTTAAGAGTATGCTAAAAATAAGGTTTAAAATTAACCATCACGTCACAAACATTTTTTAGAAAGGTAGAAAAACGAATAATCAATTTTTATTAAAACAATATCATTTTATTATTCTTGTAGTTTTTTAAAAAATTTTTAAGCGGATTTTCTGGCTACCCTTTGATACTCGTTGAATTTACAAGCTTGACTTATGTCCTTCTGAGCTCTAGATATCGATATCATATAGTTTCGATGTTATATCGTAAGCGTGAATAATAAATATATAATTATATGTCCGATTAATTTAATTGAAGAATCGAAATTTTCTGAAATATATAAATGGTACATTTTGTTAATTGATAATATAAAATTTTGCAAGAAAATCTTATTTAAAATTATGATTTCGATTTAATTTTTATTATTTTACTTTTGGTACCGAAGAAATATGAGAATCCAGAGCATTTTTAATTTCTTATCGAATATTACTTACGATTATATGATTAATACATCTCATTACTATATTAGATCATCATAGATATACAGCGCAATGCTTAAAGAGGGCATTTTTTTATGACAACTATGTTTGATAAAGAGATATGAGTTAGCATTAAAGAAAATTTACGTGTTTTTGTTAAGAAACTTTGTTCTCCATTATACCAGTCTATAGTATGTATGCTGTCTATAGTATAATGCATAGGACTATCTTAGAATAGGAAGTAAATCGATGCCTTTTAACATTTTCAGAAAATTCTCACTTTCCTGCTACAATGTTGTGAACACTTTATAACTATTACACCCTTAAATCAGTCATGCATCCAACTCTCACCTCCTCAGACATAAAGCAGTTTAGATCTCTGCTATCTTTCCTTGTAAATATGTTTTTTGACAAATTCTGTAAATCTCGGTGTTAGCCAGATCTTGCTTTTTGATGTAGTAGAATTCTTGTGAAAGTATAGACCAGAATCTTAAAAATAATATTGTCATCCTGTAGGAAGCAAACTTTTTATCCTGGGTAAATTTCATAAGTAATCAGCTAGATGCATCTGAAGGGGAGAAAATCAGAAGAGACTTTTCAGAGAAAATCTGGAAAGTCTCTCCAGTATTTGTGATTCTGTAGTACCTAAAAATTAGAGATCTAGTAAATCCATGATTAATTCTTCGGCCCGAATTTTGTATTTAGCCATTAGGTAAGTTGGTAATTAGTTAATAAGTCCTCATTTCGCAATCTGTAAAATCGTTAACCAATAAGAATAATGAGTAATTAGTAAGTAATAAGTCCATATTTTTCATTTTGTGAGACTGTTCATAGGTCAGTTAATAAATCTGTATATTGAATTTAATAAAGAATCTAATAAATTTGTAAGATTTTATTAAAAAATCAATGAGTCTACAACCAGCTCTCTATTCTCTTACTGAACATTGTCCAACTAACTCATTGGTACGTGGAGCCGAACTTGTACGCACACTACTTATAGAAGCTTGTAAAATTTATTCTAATACTCTGTCTACTGCCTCATTCTTTTTCTAATTTATTTATCTATCAGATCGAATTTAAGTTTTTTAAGATGAACCTCTAGTAAAGGCTTCACGACTTGATCAAAAACTGACTATTTTTACATTATTATAATTACGCCATAGGATATAATAAATAAAATGTCAATTATATTTGGTAATCGTATTATTTTTATTTTTTATTTTGTTTAATCTATAATTAAAGGCTGCCTAATATTTTTATAAAAGAATATAATTTTATAGTCCAATTTTTATTTTTAATTTTATATTCTTTGAATACTATTTATCTATTATTATTTTTATTAAATTGCTTTACTATTACTTATTATTAATAAATTATTTCCAAAGCTAGTTTAATATATTTTATAATATTTAATAACTTATTCAATTATAAAAAACCATTTCTACATAAGTACAGCTTACAATTTTATTTACATTCTATGTTCTATTCTGCTCTTAGCTGTGTCCACAACATTTGTATAATTCAACTTTATATTAAATTTTTTGCATATAACATTTTGCGACCAATTGACTAAGTGAATTCTTGTTTCGCTTAATTCACAATCCTTTCATTTATGGGGACTGGCAATATAGCACTATATATATGGCTAAAACACATATGGAGATAAAGTAATTGCCTGTGTAAAAATCCTGTTTACAATGGACAAAGTAAATCTTTCTGTTACTTTTCTTTTACTACCACTTCTATTCATGGGAACTGATAATATAATAGTATTATTACATATACATATGTATGAAACGCACTAATAAAATATACTCCGACATCTTCATAAATATTTAAAAATTCATAAAGTTTTACAGTAGATATAATGACTCTGCATTAATTTTTTAAGAGGTAAAAACAATGTCAATTTTAAATTCTCGAAAAATGTGCATGTACACATATAATGACCGCAAAAAAATTATAGCAACATGTTTATCAATTTCAGATTTTTTTTATATTTATAATTATTACAAATAAAATGAACTATTATCTGAACAATTTTACAATCAGAATGTTTCTCATCAAAAAAACTATCTCCAAGTTGCCAATTAGGTATTAATAATTGTTCATATTTTATACTTCTTTTCTTTCAAATGTATCGTTAATATTTTTCTAATGTATCCAGAGAATATGGAAATCATCGTACATTCTGTAACAATTAATGTGGAGCTTAATAATTTGATTTGAAGGACTTTGTGATAAGGATGAAAATGTACATTTCCGAATTTTGATAGTTTTCTCAACAATCTTTCTTACTGTCATGAATTATATTTTGATCATTAATAAATAACACACTTCGTTGGTATCATTGAATTATGCAGTAGTAATTGGCTATAAAATTTGAACAGTTATGATTAAGTAATTGTGTTAGTATAATCAGGTTGCAATATTTTGCTTCATTTTAAGCTATTTGCACATATAATAATTTATGTGATTGTAATTTATATATTTTAAATCTTATTTCTTCATCAGTGATGAGATTAGCAAAAAGGGCAAGAACAGACAACCAATATTTCCAAGAAACATTCTATCGAATTTCTGTTCTGTGTATTGCTTATATATATATATCAATATAAGCATAATGTAAAAAGAGTTACATTAACCCCCTGTTCTTGATTATATCCTAAAACTATATTTAAAAATTTTGTATATACTTCGATAACGGTCTACAAAAAGAAATTTGAAAGAAATTTTAATGATTTAAACATTCATGAAATACAAATTTTTGTCTATATCAATGCATATTAAGTAATATTAAATAATATGTGTACATAACATTTCAATTAAAATTATTTAAATAAATGTAATTGAACATTCAAGAAAAACTGATTTCTAAACACTTCATAAATTGTTTTCCTGTACCTTCTTAACAATACAGATGTTAAATCAACTTTGGCTTAGTTACATTTTGTTACTGAATAGATATATATATATATATGTATATATATATATATAAGAATGGATATATATATGTATATATATAATATCTCGGATTGCTTATGGGAGGTGATAAACGAAAATATGTTTCTCTGTGAACAAAATGATAAATCTTTATTTGTTAATTAATGCTTAGTTTCTAATTAGTCTTACCCGTGAACAAAGAAACAACAATTTACGTTTATTATTCACATTGTTAAATTTTATTTAATATTATATATTATAAATTTTCTTATAGCTCTTTGTGTTACTTTTCTCTTCTGTTATATTTCATACTGCCCGTTTCTCTTCCAAATCTTAACGACTCGATTTGTATGTCACAAAAGAAATTGTAAATAATAAAGGACAATGGAAGGGGGGGCTATGAAACGCGCGGCAAATCTACCTGAAGAAAGTATACTTTCTTTACATATATATATATATATATATATATATATATATATATATATATATATATATATCGTCAATTATTCATGTAAAAGAAGTCATTGATGGGCACTGGCAATTTTTTTCATAATGATAAACATTTCTGCAATAAATGCATATCTTCTATATTTGTGTTTCAAAAATTAAAAAAATATAAAGCGATTTGACTTTATAAGGAACTTAAATTTTGCAAGAATAAAATCTTATCTCCATAACAAAATTTAACAAACTTTATATGGTGAAATTAGAAACCTTAGAAAATATGTTGAAAGATACAACACATAAAACTTCTACTCTACTACGTCATGTGCGTCATGTTACATTAATTATATTATGATACGTCGTCGTATTTCTAACTTAATCTAAACCTAACATAATTACTACTACTACTACTACTACTACTACTATTATACTTTACTGTATTACTAAACGACTACTTTTAGATTTTTTCCCTTTTTTCTATCTTTGATACGGCAACGGATATGTCGCAGATGCACTAGCAAGTAATATGCAACATTTCTTGCAAGAGAAACTTTTGTGACATGTGTAACAGAATATGTGTAAACATGTGTGAACACATCTAAAATAATAACTGGTAAGTTGAACTGATTGCCATAATTGCTTTCAGATAGCGAAACAACGAGTAGTGTAAACAGTTTTTTCTTCTTTCGCATAGTTATTTCTAACTACCAACGATGTCCCAAATATTTTGTAAGAACTCGTGTGCTAAAGATAATGGAAAAAATGTGTTGAGCGAAGGAAGGGATACTTAGATTGATTTCGTAGTGGATAAATTTTTCCGAATTTTGGGATATAAAAAGAAAAAATTATCGGAGTAAAATACAAAAACGGAATGTCTTAAATAATCTTTCGAGTGAATTTAATATCAGTGAAAATGTAATTACACAATTTACATACACATTTCTATCAGGAATTGAGAAAAATATAAGTAAAATATAGCGATAATACGATGGATGATATATATTCGAATAATCGAAATTATTTCTATGCCGTAATGTTTATTCATGAAAAAGACTTAGATGAAAGAACTCTAACAATTTGGTAAATAAAGCATACATAAACATATATGAGAATATATGCATAATAGAATATAATAATGAGTATATAAGCATATATAATAATATAAGAATTTTTATTTATATACACACCATTTATAAAGTTTATTCAATATTTTTATATATGTTTATCTTGTTATATCATATATTAATATACATTATTCTTAATGTATTTCTACATGTAGGAAACAAAATAGTTACTAAATTTGTTTTGTACAACTTCAGAAATTTCTGTATATTTATGTGCTTGTTCTCGTTGTAATTCTAATAAGTACGATTTTGTCATTTCAAAAATTCTTCATTCCCCATGCTCCTCATCTCTATCCAAAGTACTTGGTATTGCATACAATTTATTTTCTTGTGTCAGAAGAAAATTGTGTTATACGCATAATGCTAACATTAAAAGTGGTTTTTTTGTAAAAAGTTCTAGTGGTTTACTTGATATACGAAATAGATTAATAATAAGATCAAATACGTTTTCTACAATTTGTTTAGCTCTCAAGAAACGATAATTAAATACACAATTCGGTGCAGGTTATTATACAAAAAGAGTATAATAATAGATAAGTTTTCATGGTAAATACATCATCAGCAACAATGGCATGGAGTAAAGATTTCGTATGTTCGGTGAAATGTTCTACAGGAGGAAAATTTTGTGAATTCTTTAATAAAGTATCCAATAAAGTACTATTCTTGGATACATTTCTATTAGAAACTTTTTCATTAGATTACTTTAAAATTTACACATGATTTACGTCAAGAAAACCATTAGTTGAATTCTATTGAATTCTATGTAATTATAGTAGTAGCTTGTAGTACTTGGAGAAGCTTTTATAGCTATGTGTTTTCCATCTGATTCTCCTACATATTGAGGGAAAATTACAATTTTCTTCAAATATCTGTGAATGTTTCTTCGAATTCTTAGATGGTTTTAGAATCTATAAAAAACAATGATATTAAATCTATGTTAAGGTTAAATATTAGTTTTTCACATTTAAGAAAATAGAAAAAAAATAATACCAAATGCAACTGGAACTATAAAAGCAAATGAAAATGAATTGACAGTGTTGGAAATTATATCATTGGGTACTGAATATTTTATATAATTCTACACCATCAGCCTCGTCATGGAGTAATTCTAGATCATCTCAAATACTATATTTTTTTATTGCAAATATTTATATTAAACGAATAATATTTATTTTATCTTATTTTATTTATTCATTTATTTGTACTTTAGGCTTAGAGTTTATTACAAGGTGATAATTGAGTTATTATATATATATATTTAACATTGTTTAATTCTTTAATGTATTTATATTCATTTAATTTAAAAATTTGTTATATTTACCTGTTGTCAAGAATCTAAAAATAATTCGTTCCTAGAGTGACAAACAAGATTTTAATGACGTGACTAATACGAATACGTGGCGACCAACTGTAGTTTCTTTTTTGTTGCAAATCAATTTAAGATGCAAAAGCACATATCAAAGCACTCTCTATAATATTCATATGTCATATGCATGTCTATGTCTAATATTATTATCATGACATTGTTAGTTGATGATTTTGGCAACGAAATCATGTATCACATTAAGTTATGTAATTTTTTCGCATTACTTACAAGTTTTTAATTGTTACTCCATCACATACAATCATTTTTTTCGTCATAATCCGATAGATTATGGGCTCAAATGTGCCGTCGAATTAAAATAAAGGAAGGAAACGCATAAAAACGCATAAGAATATATTTTACATTGTGGAATAAAAAGATTAAAAAGAACATGGCTATTATGCTTCAACGCATCAAGTTAAAAAGCTTTAAGCGATACGAATTATAAACCTGGAAGCTGCAAATAAAAAACGTCCTCATTTGCAACAAATTGTGGTTGTATATAAATGGAATAAATTTTCTGACACAAGATAATCAGAATACTTGGAAATCAAAAGATGAAAAAGTCTTAGTGTTAATTTTATTAAATATGCCCAGGAATCTACTAATTTGTATACAATTGTTTTTCTAATATAAGTTAAAACGATCACATATTACATCCAATTAAAAACGGTACTTGATTTGTAAGAAAAAGATTCAAAAGTTTTTAAAAATAAAATGTTTATTTTATTGAAAATGCTTTTTTTAGTGGAAAAGGGAATGAATATTCTTATATACATTATAGGTTCACAGAAAACATAGGTTTGATTAAATAAATAAAAATATTCTGTAAGGTTATTAGTTATTTATTTTGCAACGTGTGAAATAAAAAGAGTGATGTTAAAGCACGTAGCAATAATGTTAAGATTGTTTGTATTTTTGAAAGCATAGTTAATGTATACGAATTAAATATAGTTACTATGGAGAATGACATAGAATAAAAGAAGAGAGAAATATACAGAAACAGGAAGAGAGAGGGAGAGAGAGTGAGATAAAGTATAAAATGAAATAGGTATACAAAGTAGGAATAGAGAGAGAGAAGTAGAAAGTGAAACAGAGCATAAGTTCCGAGCTATTGTTTATCTTAAGCGTAAGAGAGCGGATGAAGCTTTCGTATCTTTACCTTTCTCAATCTCTCTGTTTCTCATTTCCTACTAGTATCTTCCTGATTCATCCTTTGTTTTTCGAATTCTTATTATCATTCCTCTAGTCTCGATGCCTGTATGTTGATTACGTCATATAGAATTAGAATAAAATAATACTTTTATATAAATAAGTTACTTTCAATATAATATAATAATAATAATAATAATAATAAATATAATAATAATATTTTTAATATAATATATAACTATTAAAAATCTCTCTCTCTCTCTCTCTCTCTCTCTTGTTCTATCTTCTTACTTTTAAAACTTGCTGATAGAGAAACTGAACACGGGAATAACAAGGAAGATTAAAATTGAAAAACTATATTAAATAAAATTAAATTAACTAATGAAGTTTCACTTTCATTATGTGGTAGATACACAACCAGTTTTCTTTTTTTCTGTTGTTTAGTTTTTTTATATATAATATGAAAACGTAAATGTAAGTAATACTTACAATTAATATATAGTATAATTGTACTAGTAGAAATAATATTATATAACTTTCATACAATATATAATTTTGTTTGTAAATACGAAAAAGGAATTGGATTTTAAAGGATTTAATTTCTTTCAAAAGAGTAAGACGATAATCTTCGAGACAAATATATATAATGAAGGATTTATATAATAGTCTTCATTGTCCGATTATTTTTTTTAATTTATTTAAAATTATTACTTTGCCGCAAATTTGTCGCTTCACTATATTCTACTTAGTAATCGTCCGAAGATTTCGTATAATTTCCGACTTCTATCGATTCGTAATATTTCATTTCAATTATAAATTCTATATTAATAGACATTTTTAAATAAAAATGAATAGATACAGATAAATACTACTTCTTCAAAATATTTATAAGAAAGATTGAAATTTATTACGCAGATAAATTTATTTATTATTCGATTTATTTTTCGCTCTTATGTATTCATTTGTTGTAACAAATGTACGCGATGAGGATGATTGCTTTAGGAACGTATTCACAACTTTGAGATAAATTGACATATAATCACTTTCATAGCTGAAAACGTATACGGATAAAAAGCTATATAATTTTGATGTTTTTTTAAACTTTTATAAAATTTACAGGATGTACTATTTCTTTCGCGGACTGAATGAAGGAGTCAAATATATATGACGGAAAGGCATATGATTTGCAAACTATTAAGGCGGCCCTGATTTTTTGTACGAAATGTTCACAAGATGGTGCTATATATGTAGGACTTGTTACGCCTCTTCCGGCGAGACACATAACTAACATGTCTCGACGCCACCAAGCGCATACGCGGGAAACCAATAAACAAAAGTGACGAAAAAGACGGCGGAAACACAAAGAAAATCATTGTTCTTTCTTCGACTCTCCTAGAGACAACGGTTATGGAAGTCATAGTCTGTATCTGCTACGCAACGAACAAAGCTAAATAAATATCACAATTGTTACTTGATGTGCAAAGTTTCTCTCTACATAGTGGATTGTCAACGATAAATCCACAGACATCGTTTACTGTTATTATTATCAAGACCACTTAAGATTGCGCGTGCTGGTACAATTTGCCAAGAAGTTCGTCGTTCTGCTACTTACAGGTAAATCTACTTTATTTCTTTTAAATTACAGATTCTTCCAATATACTAATCGAAATATACTATTCAAGTTGAAAAAGTGTTGCATTTGAGATATATTCGTGAAAATAAAATTGTAATCTAGACATGCCCCTCGTGGAGCTTATTGCGTTGTACTTGTTTTTGGAGTTTCAGCTCTTATATTCGTAATGTGTATTCTTTGTTATGGTTTTAATAGTGATTAATGCAATCATTTTTAGGTTATTTAATCAATTGATTGTATTATGTATTATCTATTATATTCGACTTTCCTCTAAATCGCATATATACGGGTATACATATATCAGGATTGTTATTGCCAAGTGCGTGGTATTGACATTGAGGCATTTAGATGCTTGAATGTTACGATTGAAAAAAAGGTTTGTAAAACAGTTACGATTGAAAAAAAACTTGAAAGGCAAAAAGAGAACATTCTGTAAGATTTTGTGTTGCCGAACGGACCGTTAGTAGCATTATTATATATATATATATATACATATATATATATAATACATATATATATACACATACATACTCTTTAAATTATTTTGTGAGATCAATTGTTTCAATTGTTCGCTCTATACCCTGATTTTGCACATTCATGTGTGTATATATATATATATATATAATTATGGAATGGGAAGGTTCCAGACTAGTTAGTCATGTGTGTGTGTGTGAGAAATGTACCGGTCGACAGTTGAACGAAGCGATGGAATATTCTCGACTAATTAGGCGTGTGTATGTATGGATATGTGAGGTAAACCGATTGGTAGTCAAAGAGAGCGTGATTTATCTTTTAACGGGTAATGTTTTAAGTAGGCTAGATTATGAGAAAATAATTATAGTTTCCAAGTTGTTACATTCTAGTTATAGTATTTTTGTCAATAAAGTTCGTATTAACGAAGACTTATTCGAATTAGTCAATTCGTATCTTCCAGGTGGGGTTTCAAAAAATATCTTATATATATATATATATTTGATTTATATTAGAAAAACACTTTCATTTTATAATACATGATATTCTACGAATTGACGAAGCTTTATACACGGTACGTATATACTGGAAACGTAGATTTATTTTTTACTGCTTTTCGTATGTAGCCGAAGTTAAGTTAAATGTGTGGTTTTAAAATTTTTAAGTAAATTCTAATAAAAGCACATACATTAAGGACGAACATTCTATTGTTCTATTTTGCTTGGTATTTTTTAGGGAAGTTGTTTTGTTCTCGCATGATAAACAAGGAAGGTGACTTCCCTCTCACTATCCAGTAATATGATCAAGGTACAATACAAGTACAATACAAATAGAGGTACGTAAGTAATATTATTTTCTTGTTAATTATATCATTGAAAATTTTATTTTATTTTATTTTAGGATAATTATTATTATTAAATAAACCAAAATTATTAATTCCTTATTATTTCGTGTTGTTTTTTTTTATTTCAATTAGTTTTTATTAATAAAAATTCAAGTAACCTCTTTTTATTTACTTAACATACATATACTTTCACAAAGAGTTTTCTATATTATAATAATGATACTAGTAATATTGCTTTCGTTTTATATCAGATCTTATTGTGCAGTTGTCCATGCAGCCTTAGATGAGTCGATTCTTGATTCAATAAAGTAAAAGAAGAATTGCGAAGCTAACTGAGTTTTTACGTTTATTTAAATTTGTTTACGGTTTGCGATTTCAATTAATTTTGAGGAATATGTGTATTTGAATAGATTGCGCGCAAAACAATCTTAGAGTCAATGTTTGTTCGTATAAAGTTTTATTTAACTTCTTTTTAATAGTCACATAAACTTTACAGGTAACCCCCTATAACGATATAACACGGTATTGAAATTGTTAGATTTGTATCTTTTCACTTATTTTATTTTATTTTGTTGAAAATATTTATGCTTTATGTGCATGAAATTAAAATTTCTTTTGTATGTTACCTTATTTGTTACATGGATGAGATAGAAATTATTCCTATTAGTCACGTCAGTTGCTTTTTATATGATATAAAAAAATTTTTAATCAATGTTAGAAAAATTTCGGAAATTAACTTCGTCTGTTGTATTAGATCTGTATCTCGTATAACGGAATTTATATAATGTCTTTTTTATGGAATGGAATATTTGTGTTATACTGTTATTTCGGTTATCTGTATTTACATTTAAAACAAATTTTAAAATAGATTTTAACGAATTCAATTTATTGTCCGCCTCCTTATTTAATGAATAATTATTGTGTAAAAGAGTTAGTGCATCATGGAAGATGATCAAAATACTAACATACTTCTTTTATAGAATAATATTAGTTTGTAAATATTGAAATTTTTAGCCAATGTAATTTTGCAATTCTTTTTATTATAATAAATTTAATACTAGTGGAGATAATTAACTTTTCACTGCACTGCAAAATAACACTGATAATCTATTCTTTTAACTATCTATTCTTAATATATTGATATATCAAGAAACGGAAATTGTAAAGATACGGATTAATACCCCAGTCGTAGATATCGCATTATTGTTTAATCTTTCTAATACCTTATAAATTTTCCGTATACCGTCCAAAAATATTTAGAAAACTATAGGATTTTAATCGTATCTGTTATCTGTTAAAATTAACATATTTCTTTCAAAAAAGAAGATATTTTCACGTATCTTTTATTTTTTTGTAAAATATCTGTTGTTTTACGTGAAAAAAAGAAAAAATTATTTCCATAATCAAAATATAATGTCATTACATATGTTTAAATTATTAAAAAACTATTAAGATATTAAAATAAGTAATTGTGTTTTTGCTCATGCTGCTAGTTAGTACTAGATTAATTTATTGTAAGTGTATATATGAAAGCATACGATATCTGCTTGTAACTTGTCTATTTAGAGTATCCTCATTTAAAGAAGAAATACCTACTTTATATAAAACATATAAATTTGGTTTGTAATCTTTTTTCAGATAATCATTGCTTCTCAAGTCAATTTCGGTCTACATCGCAAATGAGTATTTTGGAACCTCAGAACCATAGAACTTCTTAAGTAGTAAGTGAACAAATTCAAGTCGCTTTAGTATTTGTTATTGTAGTTGGGTTTAGGCCAAAGTATTTGGAAACCTACAAATGCTTTTTGTCTATTATCTTTCGTAATATACAAACTTACTCTTGTTCATTTGCTTGACATTCGATGCTTGGTAAAACTGAATTATTCTGCTCTGCTTTAACTTACCTTACAAATTTTATAATATTTAAATTTATAAATATATATAGGATACAATATACGATACAAAATATTAAAGTGAATACAAAATAACCATATATATGATACAAACCACAATATATATATAATAATATATTACATAATTTATATAATATAGTTGTTAAAGTATTATTTCTACTATTCTTTCGATAGTTACATTTAAATGAATATTTTCCTAATCCTACATTATGCTGGCAATCAAAGTTTCGAAGCGACATAAATTACTGATTATAATTTTTCCAATAAGTTATTGGCAAGCATGACCATTAGTAATTCTGTTTTAGGATTTTTAATTGCCTTTTTTCCTTGTTTTCTTATATTATGCATGCCTGTTTTTATTAGATAAGCTTAAGATCTTATTTTGTCAATTTAAAAAATTACATTTCTTCACTTTTTCATCCAGTGAACGTGGTCATGTACAAACTTCAATGGTGATTTTATGCTTCTAAATTAAAGGAGATTATTACTTTAATTGTTTGTATTTAATATGCTTGCTTCTTTGCAGAATGATGCAGATTTTTTACATTTGTTTACACTTCTTTGGCGATTTGTTAGGCAGTCCCTTTGTAATTCGAAGCAATGTATAGAATTTTTTTTTTATATTTCATGTTCATTACAATTTATCAGTAATAGATATTAGGTAAATTGTTTATATATGAAAAGTAGCATGTGGATAATATGTCCATTGAGACAACGTCTCTATTTATAAGATCATAGATTTAATATAATTCATATTGTTTAATTTTTTACCTATCTTAATATATATCTTCAGGATATATATTTCAAGCCTTCGCAGGATGTATTTCTATAAATATTATTGACTAGCGGGATAAATTTGTGCTTTGTGAAGTGTTGTTTCTATGTGATCAGTGAATGTTTCTATTTAATCTTCTGTATTTTTGGTCATGAGCCGTGGAGTTTTCGTATGTCCGGTATTGGTATTATTGATCATTTACATCTTTTGACTATTTTGCACAAAGAATTTTGTGTCTTATTGCTTGTGTTACTGGTGAAAGTGATTTCTGGGGTCTTTAAAGAGTATCTTTTGTTATTGTTATATTGTTATTCTGGATATTTTGTATGTTTATGTTTACTTCTTTGATTAATTTGTTTAATTGTCTTTTGTTTATTCTTGTCTTATTTTTCTACCACCTAGCTTTGTCTTGTCATCTTTGTTTTGGTTTAAAAAATATTGTCAGGATAATTCAGGATTCTTTTGGATGAATCATTTTGTGTGGTTGTTATTCATGCGGCCTTTTGTATAACATTTTTATTTTGTTAACTGTTTCTTTAATTTGAAGAGGAGTCCTTAGTAGAATGTTACAGTTCAGTTCTAATTATACGATTTTTTTGAATAGCATTTAATTTGTTTTTTCAGTATACAGGATTCATGACTTTTTATAAACGATTGATCTGTTCCAATATGTAATTATTATAAGTTAGTGGTCAGAGCTGAGTTTTAAGCATGATTCAATTTATGAGTTTAAATTTTTTAAGATGTTAAAATCTAGTAGATAAGGAGTTTTATTATAAGTTAGCAGCCAGTAGATTGGCTTATCAATGGTGAGAATGTTCGAATTAGTGTTTTCGAGGTACTTTGAGCGAGCTCATCTCTTTTGCTCCATGATTTCTCGTCTCCAGTTATGATTTAGCTTTAGAAATGGATCATTTTTTGTCGTTTGAGAAGCAAATCATAATCCGACGGAGCAATTTTTTTCTATAAGAATATATGGAACTCATATATCGATCTTTGAAACAAAATCAAGTCATTTCACGTGATTATAAATGGTCGAATTCGACAGATTTAACACTACCAACAGTTGTTATATACCTATTTTTACCAAACCAGTCATTTTGACCGGTCTAATATATAGTTGGCAAAATATAAAAATTCAAAGAAAAGTTTTAAAGAAAATAAAATATATTTTATTCTAACGTTGCAAGTACATGATACATACATCTATTTACATAAAAGGTAATACTATTATTTGTTTTTTATTTAGGTTTAATTATTATTTGGATCACCACAATTTTTGCATAAAGAAATTTTTTTCAATGTACATTTACCACAAACATATTTTTTACAGCCAAAACATATATTCATAGTTTTATTTTCATTACAAAAACCTATTTTGCGAGTTTTTCGTATATTAGAACTCTCGGGGCTCTTCAAGAAGTCATTCAAATTTTCCAGTTCAGCTGAATCTTTATACTCTGTGATAAGTTCTTCTGCTAATTGGAACAAAAAATTGATGACTGTCTTGTTTCTTTCTTTCCCAAATATGGGAACCCATTTATTATAAATTTACTTTGGAGATCAGATGCTAACCAAAATTTTATTCCGAACTTATCGGGTTTGTTCGGCATATACTGCGTGAATCGGCATCTCGCTTTGCTTGGAAATAATTGCTCGTCGATTGTAATATTTTGTCCTGGAACGTAACAATTCTGGCTATTTTCAATGAATGAATACCAAACATTTGAAATCAATGCAAATTTATCCGTTTGTAATCGTACATTCCGTTCATTTTTTTTATCGAAGCGGATAAATTTTAAAATATCCGTAAACTCCTTTCTACTCATAGTTTTCGAAAAAAACGCTGGTCCCCACTTTTGAGTCCATAAATAAGATAATTTCAAATTTTTAGCTTCATAAGCACTACGTGCATATTAAATTGCAAGAAAAGCGTAAAACTTTTCTTGAGATAGATCCCGTTTTTCACCAAGAACTCTAAAAGCTTCTAGTCTTGTGCATGTTCTAATATAATCCATCATTCGTCGATTAATTATCAAAAGAAAAGCACTACTTACAGTGCCCTTCATTATACTTCGTTTTGCATATGCTGTGGGTCCAATTATTGATTTGAAAATGCTATTTATTGATGTCCTTTCTGGAGTGGATCCAACTTTTATTTTTATCCAGATAATTCCATCAGGAGCAATTTCAGTTTGTTGACGGTCATTCTCATCCGAAGATGACGACAATCTCAAAAGTCTTCTTTATTTACGTACATTCAGGATGTTCTCTTCTTCACTATTGCTGTCTGAGGAAACACACGCTTCTTCTTCTAATTGATCCTCTGAAATATCTGCTGGTCCAATCTCAGGATCAAAATCACTTTGGTCGATATCGGAAAAGTCTTCTCTTATATTTGTTATGTTCTCTAAAATTTTAGGTATTTTCGGACATCTCGGCATTTTTAGGGTAAAGTGTCTGGATAGAAATATTCTAAATATATTTTCCCTTATTATAATAAAAATATTCACAATTTACTTACATTTCAAGCTACGATAACTATAAATTGAAAGAAATATATTCAGCACAATTGTCCACAATATTGAAATTATTTCAACCTTATACAAAAACTGCCAATAAAAAAATTACTGAATACTGTACTGAGTGTAGGTATTTCAACTGTATACAACAGTTATCAATAAGAAAATAAAAAAGTTTCACACAGAAACATTAAAAATACTGACCGGTTATTTTGAAATGAATTTAAGTGAACGATCAAAATAATTTATAATATATGTTAAATACATGAATTTAGTAAAAGTCATAACATTATTATAAAATATTAAATAAAATTTCAAGACAAAATCTTGTGAACAATTAATATAATTGGTCATTTTGACCGGTCGGTAGTTCTAGTGTTCTAAATCTCGCAGCGATGTCTTGTGTTATTATTGGGCAGTTTGCAATACCTTTATTTTTAGACTTTATCAGCTTCAATTGGCCTTCCAGAACGTGATGCTTCTTCAATATCAAAATTGCCGGAACGAAATTTTTCAAATCAGTTTGAGCATTGGCGTTACGTTAAGACAAATTCTCTATATATGTCACTTAACTTTTCCCTCGCTTGAACAGCATTTTTGCCTTCGTAATAAAAAAGCAAAATAGGCCAAAAATGCTGTTTTTGATATTTCATTTTTCATAATACACCAAGAAAAAACAGTTGCACAGAATCAAACAGAATTGTTTACAAACATTCCTTTAAATGTTAGATGTTAAAATATGTAATAACAATATAGTTTAACAATGAAGTTAGTTGCTTAAAAATACAACAGATACCTCTGTTGGGAAAAAAACGAGATAACTTTCCGAACAACACAATATATTTGATATGCGTTCTATTTGCTAAGAAGGTAGAGAGAAATTAGAATTATTTGCGTTTACTTGTATAGATTCCAAACATGGATTGTGCAAATTTTCAGTTTACAAGTTTGATGGTATCAATATTTTTTTCTGCTATTAATCCTTCTCTCTTCTTCCTTTTGTAATTTCTTAAATTTTTAGTTACGACTGGACTTTCCGCGGGATTGTATTTCTGTACAGCATGTTTCCACACGAACTGCGCGTAAACTGTGCATGACGCTTCTTACTATGACATTAAATCGAAGTAGCGTTATAAAGGAATAAATTATAATTTATTTATACATTTTTATGTAAAAAGTTTGAAAAATACGCAAAAAACTAATAAGAAGACTTATACTTTATTAATTAATAGTATAATTATATATGCTAAAATAAGGAACGATGCAGAATCACATATCACAATCTTTATATTCGTACCGTGATCTTCTCCTTATATTATTTTTTGACCACCCTACACAGTTTCGCAACGTTTTTTTGCTATTCATAATTTTACAGAATGACGGGTAATATTTATCTGTTAATCATTATGACTGATAGGCAGTAGATGTATTAGGTTGGCGCGAATGAAATGTCGGATTCTTAAGTGAATGTATTAAACTGCATATCTTTTTCTAAAAGCTGTTTATTTAATCAAAATATGCTCCATTTACTTCAATACACTTTTCTCAACGAGATTTTAATGGATAGATGCCTGTCTTGAAGAAATTCTGATCTTTAGAATCAATGAACTCTGATATGGCATTTTTCAGACTGTCTTCATTTTCGTACTGTTTAGCCCGTAAAAACAGTTCTAAATGTTTAAATAAATGGAAGTCGGTTGGCGAAAGATCTGGTGAATAAGGAGATGGGTGCTGCAAAATTTCATATTTTAATTCATTTAATTTCGCAATTGTTTGTACGATGTATGCGACCGAGCGTTGTCGTGGAGAAGTATTGGGCCATGCCGATTAACAAGTGATGGGCGTATAATTTTCAATTTTTCATGCATTTCTTCAATATACTGGGAATACTTTACGGCTGTAATTGTCATTCCAGTTCGAAGGAATGAGTAGTGTATTACTCCAGTCACATTCCACCAAACTGTGATTAAAATTTTCCGTAGATGAAGTGATGGTCGTAGAGTATGAGCACAAGCGCGAGCCCCTATCAAGCCACCGAGCACACATTTTCCTATTGTCGTAAAGAACCCATTTTTTATCACAAGTAATGATCCGATCGAAAAATGGATCTCGATTAAATCGGGTTAGCAATGATGAGCATACGTTCAAGCGATCCAGCTTATTTCGCTCGGTTAGTTCGTGCGGTATCCACTTATCCATTTTTTTCACCATGCCAATTTCAGAAAAATATCGCAATATTGTTGTATGGTCAACTTCCATTCTGGCAGCAAATTCCCTTGAAGAAACAGTTGGATTCCACCAATGCTTTCAGAGTATCATTTTTCACAGGCGTTTCGGGTCTTCCACGCGGTTCATTTTGCAGGGAAAAATCACCAGACTGAAATTTTTCAAACCAACGCTGCACTTTTTGATCGTTCACAGTATTCTCCCCAAATGCCTGGTTTATACTGCGCGCAGCTTTTGCATCATTATTACCAAGTTTATACTCATATAAGAAAATTACACGAATATCGGTTGAATTCATATCGGTGCAAAATTCATAGCAAATAACAAAAGGAAACACTTTTGAGAAAATCTTCTTTGCTAAAATGTGATTCTGGCAATGGACAGTACGACTATAAACCAGGTTATGTCAAAAACAAAAATATAACAAAAACAGGGAGACAAACGTTCACATTTAAAGAAAATCCGACATTTCATACGCACGGACCTAATATTATGATTGCTATAATTATTGTTTAACGTCTTATGTTTTTTAACTATCTTTTAGTAATTGAAGGTGAAATGCACGCATTGTCACTTTTTCATCTTGTACAAACAAAATGCATTCCAAACAGCCACATTAAATAAAAGGAAGAAATTTTTTGTATCATTTAGTACTTTTCTTGATGGATTCAACGTTAGTTATTACTTTATCTCTATTCTATTATCTACCGTGCCCATATTTGCAGTATAATATAATATCTGCTATGCAAGACTGTTTTTTCGGATAACTTACTTCATTTGGTAATTTAATCTTTTTGTGTTTATAAAATCTGCGAAGTGAAAAGTGGTCAGCATGTATACTTCGCGTTTGTCTTGCCATTTGAGCGATAACATATTAGACAAAGACCGAAAACATATTTCACGTGCCTTTAATTTTTCATTCATGATAGTCATATCCTTTCTTCGATGTTGTTTTACAGTACGTTTGTTGTATTATTGCGGAGACAAGCGAACAAAGTCAGGCTAATATACCAATTATTAATAAACAGGTGTGCTTTTTTCTTATATATGGTTCTAATGATGGAATTCCAATTTCACCTGATTTTCCGAGAGACTTTTCAGTTATTTTTGTTATCTGCGAATCCCTGCCTGCATATACAATAAAATTTGGAACGTATCCAGTTTTACAGTCGTAGAATATAAAAGATTTGATGCCAAATCTATTCCGTTTGGATGGAATATTCTGTTTGAACGATAACCTGCCTTTGTATAATAATAAATTTTTATCGATGCATATGTTACAAAATGGATTAAAATTATTTTGAAATGAAAGGCAAGGATTATTATAGAATTCTCTTATTTTTACTAGCCTATTTCTAATCTCACTGAAGTAAAGCATTCGCATGAGAAATATTTATCTATTTATCTTGCGTCCGAAAATGTCATTAGGCAAAAATTTATCTTTTATCCAACATTCGGAGTAATGCTATTTTTTAACTCGCGACATTAATAACCTAATTGCAAAAAAACAATAAATTTCACTCAGAGTTGTTGCTTATTCATAAGGTTTTCTAAATGAACACAGAATTTTTATTTTGTGTCCGATTTTTCTTTTCAACTGATTTGATTTTTCAACAATTAATAATATCAATTCTTCGGAAAAGAATAGCTTGTAGTAGTCTAATGGAGTATCAAATCGATTAATTCGTGTTTTCATTCCAGAATCATTTTAATTATATTTATGTACTTATTTTTGTTACTTGATCACTATTGTTATCACTATTGTTACTGAATGTGCGAAGTTCTTTCCACATAGAGACTTATCAACGATAATTTGACAACAATTGGTGACACTGACGTGATCCTTGTGCCTCAAGATATCGTATAAAAGGAAAAACGTATCGGCGTCAGCCATCCTGCCTCATCTTAAAATACGGGCCTCATGTTCAGAACACTTGAAAAAGAATCACAAACATCGAACACCATGTTAAGAGCCAACAGTATATATACAGACTAAAATACCTGACAGTCCTTAAGGATCTTGATTAAGACACGATCGAGCTGATTTCAGACGTGATACACAGGATTTAGCGCGAAACTGAATCCAATCTCCAGGAATTAACAGCAACGGCTAGTTAAGCACAGAAGATACAGACGACAAAGGAACTCATTCTGATAAAAAAAAACAGAATAACAACGGACAAATGACGCCACGAAACACTGCGACAGTTTTTTCTATCGCACCAGCGTCAATAACAGGAACAATAGTAGGAAATACTTTTGGTATGTAGAACCTGTGTACAATTGTAATCAATCACCTGGCTGTAACAGTATATTGCGTGACAAATATTATTCGATGAGTAAACTTAAATTTGCGGCGTTCACCAAAATTCGACCGGATCTCTGGTTCATCATGGCTGAGGCTGATTTCACTACTTTTGGAATCATTTATGATAAAGTAAAATACCTGACGGTCCTTAAGGCCCTGATTTCAGACATGATACAACAGGAGCCCGCTACAGGTAAATATAAAGCTTTAAGAAACGAGGTAATCTCACGACTCTCTGATTTCAGACATAAACAAAGAAATTTTTAGATGAGACAATGCTCCCAAATAGAACACCTCAGCTACTGCGACAAATACGCGAATTGGCTGATGGTTTCGTTGATGATAGCATATTGCAACAACTTTGGCTTGAACGAATACCAACATATATCAAAACCTATATGATTACCACAAGTAAACTTTTACATGATCCTATAGCCGAGAATGCGGACCGTTTTTACGAGCTGATGCCTTACGTTCAACACAATAACCAGGTTATGTATGGCAACCTTTACATGCTATCTTGCATCACCGACTCTTTATGACATTGACTCAAAGTTCATAGAAATTCAAAAATTTTTTGTGATGGAGATCAATGTGTTCATATCACAACTCATTCTACTGCAACAACAAAACCAACAACTACAGGCTTGACAATCTCCGACGCATCATAGTCGCAGCAGTCCAAGATCATCGACACCTACTCGCAATAGAATCTCCTATTATCACCAAAGTTTTGGCAGCGAAGCAAAACGCTGCCTTTTACCTTGTAAATTTGCTTCAATGACAACCTGACAACAACAAATCAGGGAAACTAACGTCGCTGTCATTAGTAAGAGCAGTGAAAGACAGCAATTCCAGACCAAAAGAGCTCCGTCTACACTACCAAACAGAAATTCTTGTTTGACTCTGGGTCGGTCGTGTTTATAACATCTGCAAAACGTTTCATAAAAATAGAAATACCGACTCACACTTTATGCTGCAAATTCATCACAAATATACGGCACGAAAATTATCAACTTTGATTTAAATCTCCGTAGAGGTTTTTGCTGGTCTTTTATCATCGCAGACGTGGAAATAGCAATCGTCGGAACTGATTTCTTAATTCACTAAAACTTGTTGATTGATTAAAAATATCAACAATTGATAGATCCAGTGTCTCACCTCTTGTCAAAAGGTAATGCAATGGAAGCACAGCATTACGGCATCTCATCCATAAGTTCAGATTTGCCTACTAAATATGCTGAACTTTTAAAACAATTCGTTGAAATCACTTGGTCAATTAGAGCAAGACATGCTTAAATTTAAAAGTACGTCCATTTGCGCACAAAATTATTACGCATAGTCTACTAGTCTTATTGCACGAGCACGTAAACTAGCGGGTGAAAAGGCAACGGCGGCAAAAACTCAAATCAGAGAACTTCTGAACTCCGGAATCATTAGATTCTCCAGCAGAATTTACGCCAATCCTATCCATATGATACGAAAGAAAGACATCACCTGGAGAACGTGCGGTGACTATATTTACGGTAAACTCGATGATGCTACTGATTCTGACATATAGTTCTCCGCTCATTCAAGATCTCTTTACATGATAGAAAACATTACAGCAAATTCGACTGCGAAAAAGTGTATCTATAACTATCTATGCACGTAGACAACATCGAATAACTGGCATCGTAACACCTTGGGTTGAGTTCTTAGTTATGCCTTTTTGTCTAAAAAACCCCACCCAGTCGTTCCAACGATTTATGGACGCTCTTTTAAGAGAACTGGACTCCGTCTTCGTCTACGTGTATGGCATTCTGGTATTCTCGGACGATGAAGACTAATATCTGGTACACATACACATTGAACGCTTAAAAGACAACAACCTCGTTATCAATCTCAAAAACTGCCTGTTCAACCAAACAGTAATAAACTTCCTGGGTTACACCATTAATGAACATGGTTACATTCCAATGTGCGAACGAGTTGATGCCATTAAAGGATATCAGAAACCTAAAACTATCGCTAGACTTTGCAGATTTCTCGGCATGATCAACTATCATTGTTGTATACTTCATGCAGTTCAGATCATGTTGCCTCTCAACAGTTACCTTAAAGTGTCAATAAAAAATGATATATCCAAGATCACATGGAGTCTTGAAGCCAATGAGGCAGTTGAAATATGCAAAAATACTCATAACAATCACATTGCTGGCTTTTCTGTTTTCTAACGAACCAATAACGCTCAGATCCAACGCATTTGCATCTGCTATCGGAGCTAAACAAGAACAGCTGGAAGATACCTAAAAACCCGTAGGATTTTTTTCCAGATAACTGAGCCAGACAGAACAGAAATACAGCACATACTATCGTGAACTTCTTGCTGTTTTTCTATCAGTCAAATTTTTGCATCACTTTTTTAATTTCCGTCAATTTATCATCAAAACGCACAACTTACTTTTGTCTTCAACCAAAAACTGGACCGAACATCGGAAAGTCAACTACTATAGCTCGAATACATCTCACAATTTTTCACTGAATTAGTTTATATGAAGGATGATGATAACACAGTCGCAGATACACTATCCTGCATTAATATTATAAACATGCCATCCATTCTCACATTTCTTGAAATCCAACAAGCACAACTGAACGACAATGGTCAGAGATACAATTTTATTGAAACTACGAAAATCACACTAGAACCAGGAATGAACATCTATTGTGATATTTTGTCAGGATTCATCAGACCATTCTTACCAGAACCATTACGCAAGATAGTTTTCAAAGTCATCATAATCTTTCACATCACAACGGCTGGATCACATCTTTAAATTTATACGAAAAAAACATTTGGCTTGATCCTTAAGGACGTACTCAAAAATGGTCTACAGAATATATTGCTTGCCTAAGAGGAAAAATTCACCGTCACAATAAGGTCAAGCCAATCCACATAGACGTACTTGATAACCACTTTAACCATATTCACTTGGACATCACCTTTCTGCTGAAGGTCAAACACTACTGATACTGCTTAACCCTTTCGCGACGGCGCACCTGTACAATACTTTGTCTTCCGCGAAAGCGCAGTAACACTTTCTCATTAACACTTTGTAGCGATCTCTACTTATTATTCTGCAAAATATGTCGCTTTGCAATAATTTATTTTTGCTCCAATATTCATCAATTGATAATTATTTCTCTCTAGACATTATTAAGCAAACAGCGATCAAACAGTACAGTTCGTCTGTCTTTGTCCCAGGTTCAGAATTACTATTATCTCTTAGTCATCAATGATTAGATGTTTTTTTCAACAATGAAATCTATCAATTCCTCAGATACGAATAATTTGAAAAATCGCAAAATTTGATATGAATCAGATATGTCTGTTTGAATTCCCGATTGTTGTCTTGTAAAATCATGAATGGTGAGCCCACAATTTTGAGAGGTTCATCTGATATTCGGATTGATGCTTTGTTAATTAACATCTTCAGTTTCATCAGATTTCGATGTACTAAGTAAATGTAATCACCTTATTTTACTTAATGGTGTATTTACATAAGATTTGTTTTCATCATAACTATCCGAATCAGTCTCGCTCACTTGTTTCCGTTGTTTCCTATTATTATATTCCATTTTAAAATGGATAAAACTTAAAATATTTATTAACATTAAGAACAAAAAAGTGAAATTAGAGATTTTACCAATTTAATAAACGATTCGATCCACTCTATTTCTTGTAGATTATTATATATTATATGAATCTGATACACCATATACTTACAGAAAATAAATGCAGTTTTTTCGAATCTTTAGAATTTTTCGAATTTTTAGCAAAATAATTTTGTGTTGCCTTTATTCGCATAGAATACTCTTACTGAGAAAAATTCTTTATTTGTCTGACAATAAAGTCTTCGCTGTATATTGTTGGCGACAGCCTCTGTAAACCAATAAACTGACTGCTGTATCTAGGCGACGTTAGCCGCTGTAAACTAATTATATATATATTATATATAGTAGTAATGATTGTCGTTTATAAGCGGCGTCAGCCTCCGTGGGACAAAAAATGGCTGTCGTATTTAGATGGCATCAGCCGCTTTGGTGCACCAAGTTAACCATCATTGATCGTTTCACCAGATAGTTTCACCCGTAGCTATACCTCTGAAGGACATGACAAAGGATATCACCATTACAGCACTACACGAACATTGGACCTGTCATTACGGTACACCAATAAAAATTACAACTGACTAAGGAACTCAATTTGTGTGAGCACTTTTACAAACTCTTGCTCAGCTCGTGGGAGCAACAAAAACTCGGACAATATCCTACCATCCTCAATCCAATGGAATTGTAAAGATGATGCATAAGATTCTCAAAGCAGCGCTTATGTGTTTCTCTAATACATGGACGGAGATCTTACCTACAGTATTATTAGGTTTAAGAATCAGCTTTAAACTTGACACCAAGGCATCCCAACTGACATGCTATAAGGTATCTATTTACTCGTACCAGGCGAAATTTGCGTCACTGCTGAACAAAAGTCAAAAATCTTTTTGGAGAATCAGAATTCATGCTTGGGCTTAGAAGTACATTGACTGCTCGTTACAACAAAGTCAGGATCTTTATTCTAAATGACCTGGACACCTGTTCTTATATATTCCTGTACTGTAATCACGTGAAAAATCCACTAGAATAACTGTACATTGGTCTATATAAGGGCCAAATAAGTGACCGAGTTTTCAAAATTAACATCAACGGAGAAGAGAAAAACATTTGAACAGACAGATTGAAGCCTGCATACATAAACAAAACCGACGATGACCAACAAGATCAACAAACCCAACCACATCAATGGGGTTTCATTACAGATAAATCTAAACGAACTTACAGACGTAAAATCAATTTCAAACTTTCCGCAGAAACTCACTTAGGGAGTGGCTGTGGCGATCTCGGCGTGACTGTTACGTCTCTTCTGGCATAGACACATAATAAATACGTCATAGAGTCACCAAACGCACACGCGGGAAACCAAAAGTAAAAAGTAACCTAAAGTAAAAAGATAACAAAGACTCTGAAAAGAAAGGAGACGGAAAAGATGTCGGGAATACAAAAAGAATTATTCTTTCTTTGACTCTTCTAGAGACCATAGCCATAGCTGCTGGAAGTCATAGTCTAATTGTATCTACTACATACCGAACATAGTTAAATAAACATATCACTGTTGCTACTTGATATGCAAAGTTTTTTTTACTTAGTGGGTTGTCAATGATAAAATCTACACATATCGTTCAAAAGCATAATATCCACGAAAGCCATTATAGTGATGTAACGTTCAATAATGGCGGAAGCCATTATAGCAGCATTTAATAACTAACAGGTTAATATTAATGCATTGCCTTTATTCTATCTTGTTAGAAGCCTTTTCTTGGTTGACATTTTTTTAAACTCATTAATGAGACAAAATTAATACGTCTACTGATCGTGACGCTTTGATCGTGGAGAAACGGTATAAAAACAAATGCATTTCGATCATAAGATAGTAAGACAAGGAGAAGCAATAATAGACGAAAGCCAAAGAAATGAAAGGAAACGTTTCATACTTTTTTCACATGTCGTTTGTATTAGACATCTGTCGACGGCGATCATTTGTCGAAATAATTAAGGACACGATTTGTTGAGAATTCACGCGTCAAATCACCACATAATGTGATACATTTTTCCTTCTTTTGTTATCATAAATTACCATCATCGTATGTGTCATGATGTACATAATTATATTCTTCTGTTATTTCTTATTATTACAATATCATACATTATATCATATATTATTATTATAGTAACTTCAGTAATAATAGTAATATTATGAAGTGACATTTCCTACAAAGGAAACCATAACAAAATAGTGCTTGGAGAGAAATCTCGTAGATAATGTAGAAAAGAACTCCTGTTTTGGCCTTCATAAAAAGTAATGCATTATATACATATATATATGCTCATTAATTATTAAT